CCATGTAAAGATCGGCAACTTTGAGAGATGGCTCAGTGGTTAAGAGCACAGGCTCAGTGGTTCTTCACACCCACATGGCAGCTCACAACCACTCTGTAAACGCTATAAGAGGTCCAACATCCTCTTCTGACCTCCACAGGCTCCTGTATGTGGTACACACACACACACACACACACACACACACACACACACACACACACAGTAGATTAATGTTTTATAAATAAATAAATCTTTAAAAAAAAAAAAAAAAAAAAAAAAGATGATCAGTTCAGACTCTGCGTTCCCCATTACTAGGAGTCTTTGCTAAAGTTACTCTTTCCGATTCCATGGAGTTTCCTTTGCACTAGATTTCTGCCTCGCCCCCGAAATGCCTCCAATTCCAGGTGTTTCTCCCAGTATTTTCTCTCTGCCCCCAACACACACACACATACACACACACACAACTGATCCCTCCTGTTCCCACCCACCCACTCCCAGTCCACCAAAGAAATCTATTCTGTTTCCCTTTTCCCAGGGAGATCCTTACACACACAAATTTTAAGCTATTGAATTCTAGTCATAGGTCTAGCCACTAAGATATGACAGTGAATGAGATAAACATAAATATGGAAATGAGGGAAGAAGGAAGAAACATGGAGGGAGACTTTATATATAAGTTGGAACTTGATTCTGGACATCTATTGGAAGGAACAGGTAATATCTGTCACCCCTGGACCCATCTACTAAATGCCAGTATTCCTCTCTGCTTCCACAATAAGACCATCAGCGCAGTCCATCATAACATAGAACATGCATCCTCCGTGGAGTCCAGCTCACACCCAAAGTTCCAGACTCAATCCTTCAGTTCACGTGTGAAAAACAGATTTCTTTTCCTCCTTTCTTCCTTTCTTTCTTCCTTCCTTTCTTTCTTTCTTTTTCCTTTTTGGTTTTTCAAGACAAAGTTTCTCTGTGTCCTTGGTTGCCCTGTAACTCAGTAGACCAGGCTGGCCTTGAACTCAGAGATTCTCCGGCCTCTGCCCTCCTGAGTGCTGGAACTAAAGGTGTGTGCCACCACCATCCGCTATCCTTTCTAAATTCCTTAAAGAAAAACTTGACAATTTCCCAAATGACTCTGGTTAAGAACTGAAAATAGGGCTGGAGAGATGGCTCAGAGGTTACGAGTACTGACTGCTCTTCCAGAGGTCCTGAGTTCAATTCCCAGTAACCACATGGTGGCTGACAACCATCTGTAATGAGATCTGGCGCCCTCTTCTGTCTACATAATAAATAAATAAAATCTTTAAAAAAAAAAAAAACTGAAAATACCCAAGGGTTTTGCACATTTCTGTGTGTAGGTAAAGTGAAAAAGGAGAAAATGAGAAAAAATTAAATACTTTTAAATCCCGAGTCCTGGGATTAAAGATGTGTGCCAACTCCACCTGGCATGAAGAAACACTTCCACATTGTGTCCCTGTGGACACCCCAGCATGATGGCAAGACTGTCGATCATACCCCCCTCCCTGTACAAAGTCTGGGAGAACAGGTCATGACTCTTAAGTGAGGTCTTCTGAGGCAGAGCCCACTGCTCCTCACAAATGATATGAAGTTGCCGAACAGAGAGGCTGACTGCAGGTGCCCTTTTGGGGTGTCCTCCAGGCAGGAGTGAGAAGGCTCAGATGAAAAACTGAAACACAGATAAACAGCAGAAAGGGGCTGAGGAGAGCCCAAACCAGAAGGCTGCCATGCAGGAGGCTTCTTTATCATGACAGCCGCAGCTGCCTGGTTGGGGAATTGGGCTCTTTTCTCTCCTAGGTTAACTTGGTTTAGAACTTCAGCATGATTTGCTTGAGTATAAACCAATGGCCTGCTTTCAACTTATCGAACAGAATGCTGAGTCGTGAGTATTGATCAGGTATCAATATGCAGAACATTAAATAGTGAGGCATGCTAAAGTGTGTATGCAACCACACATATCTTCATGTGTAATCACAGTGATGAACACAATCATGAATGCACGTGCACACGCACTGTGGCCTTGAATAAATGAGTCTATTTCCTCATCAGCTCACTAATTTGTTAAATAAAAATCCATCCAACAGACTAAAAGTCAAAAAGAGGACGTGTGGGGAGATGGCTTGGTCAGGAAGAACTTGCCACACAAGCCTGAGGACCTGAGTTCAGTTCCAGCCCCCACATAGAAAACTGAGTGTGGACTCGTGCCTGAAAGGCCAGCGCTGAGGAAGTGGGGACAGGAGAATCCTTGGGGCTTACTGACCAGCCAGTCTAGACAAATCTGAAAACTCCACATTCAGTGAGAGACCCTGTCTCAAAAGGTAAGGTGGAAATTGGTGGAGGAACACACCCAGTGTTGACCTCTGGCTCCTATGTGTACCTGCACACATGCATACATGCAGAGGAACACACACACACACACACACACACACACCATCAAAAGAAAGTCACCATGCTAAAGTTCCACGTCATCAAACCAATCCTAAGCCATTTATTTTACCTTTCAAGAAACCAAAGAAACGAGAGGTGACTTCCAGATTCCCCCAGTGGGCTAACTTCAGTTCATGGTAATGATGGTTCCTCTGCCTTATTTCTTGCATTCTTTAATCATTACAAAACAAAAACAAAACCAGAATGCAACCCCCCCAAAAACCAAACAAACAAACAAACAAACAAAAGCCCCTGAAATGATCAAATGTTAAGCAGTCAGTCAGTTTACCGTTCTTCTATCCCCACCTTAGAAGGCCTTGGAACGGCCTGGGCCAGACTTGGTTCAGTTTCTTGATGGCTTTGGTTCTTCTCTGTCTAGAAAATTGGCCTCATCAGCTCAGACCTTAGTAACTCTAATTCTGCTTTATGAACCGAAGTGTTCTAGAATAGAAAATAAACCAGCTAAGACCTTTAAACTAAATGCCTGGCATGGTGATGCACATCTGTAATCCTAGCACTTGGCAGGAACAGATAGGAGGATCAGGAGATCAAAGTCATCCTCAGCTGTGTGGTGAGTTCGAGGCCAGCCTAGGATGCATGAGACTGTCTGAAAAGAAATAAGAATATTAATTTATTATTTTCCTTTTCACATTTTTGTGTATGTGGTGTATGTACATGTGTGTGTATCTGTATGTGTATGTATTCACGTCTGCTGGCACACACGTGTGTTTGGGCACAGGTAGGGGCATGTGCACGTGGAAGCCTGAGACTGATGTCAGGAATCACCTTGAATTACTTGTGCACATTATTCATGGAATCAGGGTCTCTCAATCAAACCCAGAGCTCACTGATATGGCTAGTCTTGTTAGGCAGCTTGCTCTGGGGATCCCATGTCTCTATGTCTAATCCGGCAATAGAGATGGGCAGCCACACCCACTGGGCATTACACATATTTGGGGATCTGCACTC